GGTAACATGAAAGCAACTTTGCAAAACATATGAACGCATGGGTGCAACCCTGTTCCAAAAATCTTGGCATGAAAAGATGTGGAGCTCTCCCATGAGCAGTGGTTTGGTATTCCCTGCATCCTCTTCAGCCCTGTTGAACGGTCGGGTGTCTGATCTCTATTATGAGCAAAGCCATTGCTAAGCTCATGTGGGCTTCTAGAATTTTTCCTTCTGACCCAGTCCATCTTCCCTTGACCTCCGGCTGTCATCACCTCAGCTTTACTCAGCTGAAAACCGGAAGGGACTCTTTGGAGAGCTCCCTCGGCTTCCCGTGATTCTCTTGCCACTTCCGTAGCTTCCCCCTGAAAACCCCAGCTACATTAGCCTTCCCTCCATTATTCTGTGGCTCCTCAACTCCAGGCCACTACCAAGTTACCGATTGGATCCAACCCATTCCTAGCTGAATTTCTTCCTCAAGCACTATACTTTCCGGTATCACTTTTGGGTACTAGTCAGTAGTTGATGAGTGAAAACTATTGTTTCGTGGAGTTTTGTTGTTGTTGTAGTATTCAGTTATTTCAGGGAAGGGACAAATCTGATTGGTCTCTATGGCTCCACCTTGGCTGGAAGTAGCCATCCCTATGATTTTGAGTATCTTACAGACAAGGAAAGTGGAGGTCAGGCATGTTGAGCAGTGGTTCAGCAAGTAGAAAAACTGGAGAGAAAATTCCAAAGTTTCCAGTGGAGCACTGTGGACACTGCTTCTGTCACAGGGAAATAAGCAATAGTCAGCCTGGTAAATATAACCCAGTGTGCTCCCCACTAACAGACAGCGGTGCGTCACATCTGAGCTAGAGATTTGGAAGTCATTTCTCTAGCTTTTGCAAACTTTCAAAGTGTGGGGAGGGTTCTGTCACTTTGTATATTTTCCAGTGTAGTCCAAGTTTTTCCTCCTATTTTAGCATTTCTATTGTAGTTCAGCCGGTGAAGAATATTTAGGTTCTTTTCCAAAGTGTGGGAAACCTTGCCCATTTTAACGATCTAATATTGCTGAAGCTTTCCAATGGAAAGTCCCGTCTGGCTCAGACTTCAGCTTCTGCATTTTCCAGGGATGTGCCTTCTTTACAAATGAACTGGAATTACCTTTTACAAAGCAGGAAAAAAGTATTGCTAACCTACACAAACACAATGAGACTAGAAATGCAGAATAGTGAATGTATAAATGCTCACAGTTCATTTTTATTACTTTCACTATGCAATTCCATTTAACATTTTTCTGAAACAGTAATAAATTTTTGAATGGTAAAAACATATGGCATTTTGAGTATGCCAAGTGAGGGATATTATTTAGATAGTGAATATTTGCAAAAATTTGTAGCTTTATGTTACCAGGAGGCTCTCTATTTAATGAGAAAAGAACATTTATCCCTTTACAAATACAAGGCTTATAAATAAATACCAATATATGTGTGTATCTGTAAACACAGATAATCTGTCACAAGCAATGCATTTGCAAATAAAGCATTATGCAAATAATGTTGTGCCACATGAAATTCCTCTTCTAAATGTAAGAGCTTGATTTCCTACAGCAATAGAGAAACTAAACACAAGGTGGTTTATACATCTTTCGATCCATTGATAGACACACAGACTCCCCCATCCCCACACACACATACACACTACTAGGCATGACCTCAAGTTTTAGAGATCCATCTGAATGATCTTTCATATTCTTTAAAACGGAGGTTTTGCCTCTTATTTATTTTAGTATTCACTCACTGGCTTTTATGCTTTTGCTAGAAACTTCCTGCCGTGACCTTTAGTTCTGGGCTTCTCCTTTACATATCCACATGTTTAGTTATTATTCCTAAACTGAGTAAGATACCCTTGCACACCACTTGCAGCTCTGGTAGTTGACTCTGCCAAGAGTTCCTTCGTTTGTTATCCCTTTAGATCCACAATCACAATACAGCAAGACAACTAACTCCTTCCTGTTTTTCTATGCTCAAACAGTTCAGGAGAACAAGTGATGTATCTTTAACATTCAAAGATACTAAAGATATGACCAGATTTAAGAGTTTGTATCCAGATCTGCATTATTTTTCCACACTTATGGCTGTCAGATATTTTTTGTCATTGCTACATTTTTAATGTGATATGCTAAGGAATCTCTACTTTACAACAAATAATCACCTCCCACTACTAATACATACTTTTATGAAGCCAAAGCGAAAACATTTACTTATAAGATTAATAAATAATGAGGCATTTTTTGATGTCTATGAATATTGTAAATAAAGAATGGGTAACATTTTCAACTTTTTGATAGGCTTTACTTTTAATCTGTTGCATTATTATATTGGTTTTGCAAGGATGGGAAGTACTTATTTATGAGGGTAAGTCATTACAAATGTTCTTTTTAAAATTGCAGCTCATTTTTAAAAGTATCACAAGATAACCATCTAAAAATTATTCAGAAAAAAGATTTTCTCTGTGAAGATTTTTAAACCGAGTCAGTACTACATATTAACATGATGAAATTGCAGAACCTTGCCTCAGATAGGGCAAATAATGCACTAAGTGTATATAAGTGCAGAATTTAATTGTCACAGAACTTCAACCAGCAAACAGGATTTGGCACAGCTAATATGAGCCCTCAATAAATGTTTATGATAGTCAACAGTGTCAATATATTATTTCCCTTGCTGCAGATGCTTTATTTTATAAGTTGGTATTGTTTTACCACTGGGACTAAATAAAAATATTCAAATTAATATGTATGTTGAGCTTACTAAGTTAGGCTTTATTTTATCCTCTTTCAAGTGTTTTCATTACATAACTGTATTCTAATTCTCTTTCTAATATCATTTCGTGAATAGTTTCCAAATAGATCCTGATTCTTTATTTCAAATTTGGTTTGCTTCTGACTTGCATTCTTAACTCCCAAGTCAGGAACATAATCTTTGGTACTTGTCTTTGTGATTTTCACTTCTCTCATGTTTTCATTAGACCTTGTGTTTGCTCTCCCCAGTTTCTTCAACTTTTAATATCGTAAAACCTTTTAAAATGAAGAGTCATTGAGGACTCTCACACAGCAGCACAGATTTCTCATTATTCAAGGAGAAAAGCCTTAGACAGTAATTTCTTGATCACACAGAATTAAAATTAATTATGGTATGTTCCTTGAAAAATTGGCCAAAGGAATGGGAAGGTCAGGTTGAAATTATACTCCTGTAGACTAATCAAGTATTTTCATTAACAAGGTCTTGAGTGCACATTCTTTGACTTCTATGCGTATCATTATTCTACTCTTAATTTTCCATATTCTTCTTATATTCATACATTACCAAGAATATAGCGATTAGGAGGGAGAAAAACATAAGTCTGTTGTGCCAAGGACTTCACTGATGTGTTTGACAGACAGGTACTAGCACTTATTTAAGATCAAGTATATCAGATTATGCAACACAATTTTGAGCTGGATGACAAGGGCAATATGGAGCAAGAGGAGATATACTTAATAACGAAGATAAAATAAGTAACTGTTTCAAAAACAACTTTTAACTTCTATTGTTAGAACAGTCAAAAGTTCTAGAATTTCAGAGTATCAAATAACCAAGTGTGGGAACATGATACTAAAAAAGGATTTCATGATACAAAATATTTATGAAAGTCAAGTTAAAACTCCTTTAACATTTAATATATCAGCAATGTAGTTTAACATATCAGAAATCATAAACTCAAACAGTATAAAGCTTTCATAGTAGAAAATGAAATTCTTGTAGTTCTGCTCTTTTATTCTGAAATTGCTTCTTAAATTATTCTAGAAGACTAAAGATATTTTAATGTCAACAGTACTAAAAACATTTAAAAAGAAAGTCTTTGCCAATAGCATATTTCACACAAATAACTAATCTAAACTGGTAACATGATTGCAATTTAGTTAGAAAATAAAGCACTTTTTAACTTTCAGATACACAACTAAAAAATCATTAAAAATGAATTAAAGATGTTCATTTTATTGTAAAAATGCTTTGAAATCTATTCACAGTATTTTCAAAATATGCATTTTTCATGAATCTTTAAGGAATTTTTACATGATGGCAATATCACAAAACCTACAATTATCTTAAGACTTTGTAATTATGCCTGTATATTTAGACTATCAGAGTTAGAGAATATGGGCTATTGTTAAAAAACAAAAATTATTTTCTTTGTACATATTCTTTCATTTTCTGTCTAGAAGTTTTTGCCATATTCACAGATTTGATTGGGCACAAATAACTCAAATATTCCCAAAAGTCTCGATGATTTTTAAAAACCTTTAAGATATGTGGTCACACTAGCAATGTTCAGCGATGAATACATCATTGTTATCAAACAGAGACTATCATTAAAGATGCTAAAACTACTATGTCTTTAACCCTAACATGAGGGATTGGAATTATTTTTGTGGTCATGAACAGCACTTACAAGACTATTTCTGGCAGCAAGGAAAAGATATTGTACTTCATTGATACTATTATATCATTCGAGAGAATATACTAAACACAAATAATGTCACAGAATGCAAAGCACATAATTGCAGCAATAAGAAAAATATGCAATTCAACACAGTTGCAAAATATAAACAATGTGGGGTAATTTATCAAGTTACTAGGAGTTTAAACTAGAAGTCACTCAAATTTATTCTGTATTCTAAACAATTCCAGTTTGCTTACCTTGGCTGCAGAGTCCGAGGGACATAGGCTCCAAAGTGTAGAGGGTGATGCTAGAAAAATTGTGATTACACAAACTTACCTCCTCTATTATGCCTGTCCTTAAAAAATGAAAGAAAACAATCCTTTCACAACACAATAAAGTACAACACAATAGCATAGTAACAGAATTTTACCTATGATAATTTCAAAAGAAAAAGTAACTGCGGAGTGTATTAATGCATTATAATGTGTATATGTGTTCATACCGTTAAAGGTATTAATAGTATCTTTGTCACAAATATTAATCAGAAAGAATCCTACCTGATGGATCAAAGTTCACCTCATTACCAGGACTTGGGCCAATGTCAATGGACACGATGGGTGAGAGCTTCCGAAAGTCCCATAGCTTCATAACCCCACAGGCATCACAGGATGCTATCAAATGACCCTTTATAATGTGAAACAATACAAAAAGAAATATAGGCACATTATACTTATATAAATATGTGTGTATATATATATGTATGCTAACCCACAAAATTTATAATTCTATTAAAACTGTAAGAACTCTTCTGTACTAAAAAATCATTGCATCTATGAAATAATTATAATTGTCATACATATTAAATTTTGGAAAATAAAATTTAGTAATACATTTCACTATTTTTATTCTGTGAGAAGATATAATAAAACGTGCATCCTCATGCAATTTGCCCATACATTTGCCTACCATATTTTATGCAAATATTTGACTCATGAAAATAGTATGCATGAACAAATGACAACAACAAAATGCATCTCATCAGAAAGGTTTAGCTTGCCATGATTATTTATCCCTCCGCGTGAAAAGGAAAAACACAGGCAGGAACACAAATGGACATAATATGAAGTTTTACCATGCAAGAGGAACTTCTGAGATCAGGTAAAGCTGATCATAATGAAAAGTAGTGACTATTGCAGACCACAAGACAAAATTCTCAGCAGAAATACTTAAACCTTTTTAATTCTCCGTTGGTCAAGGAAGAAGATACCTGGACAAAGCCACAGTTTGGATGCAACCGATTAAGCTGCCTGTTGGAATAGCATCACCCCATATCAGAGTGTTGATGAGACCCTCCCTGATCCATGTCACGTACAGCTTCCTGTTACTGAGCCAGAGAAGCAGCAGAAGATTACACAAATACCTCAGTTCCTATTACTCACATTAGAGACCAGTTGCAGTTCTAGGCTCCAAGCCCAGGCTACTGTGTCCATCTGGGAAGTAAACTAGCCAGCGGAAGAGATATCTATCTATTCGCCTTCCTATTTGTCTCTGTCATTCTACCTTTCACACCAATCAATCCATCAGTCAACCTATCAAAATTCTTTTAAAGATTTTTGGTGGAAAACAGCCAGAATGGTGGAGTTCAAGTATTGCAGAGACAGGAGGGTGATTTTCCCAGGTTCATCGGATGAGATGTCAAAGTCTGCTCTACTTCTGATTGCTTTTTGGGAAACGTTCGCTGTGCATCCATTTCATGCTGGGAACTAGACATAAATTGATGAACAAACATTTTTTCTGCTCTCGTACAACTCATGACCTCTATTCATGTCTATCACTCTACCTATGCCATTTAATCTATTCCTTCACAAACTGAGTACTGACCACTACAGAACCACCAGTAATCCTTACAAGTCAACACGCTTTCTAAATGATATATAGTTACGCTTCCAGTTCTGGCATTTTGTCAAGTCAAAAATCATCATTTTTTTTCCCTAAGTTTATCAAAATTGATAATAATGATTATAAGTAATACTGCACAATTCCTGTTGTAATTACACATTTTTCTCATTTAGTGCTTTCTATTTTTAAAAAAAGGAGTACATCTTGGGTCCAGCACATTGATTCAGTGGCTAAACCCTCACCTTGCACATGCTGCTAGCATCCCACATGACTGCCGGTTCATTCCCTGACTGCTCCAATTCCTATACAATCCTTGCTTTGGCCTGGGAAAGCAGTAGTTGAAGATGGCCCAAAGCCTTGGGACTCTGCATCCAGAGGGGAGAGCCGCAAGAAGCTCCTGGCTCCTGGCTTCAGATAGCCTCAGGTCTGTGGTTTTTTTTTTTTTTTTTTTTTCCATTTGGGGAGAGAACCAGTGACTGGGATATCTTTCTCTCTGTAAATCTGGGCTTCCAGTAAAAATAAAACAAATCTTTTTTGAATTAATTAATTAATTTATTTTTAAGTGATCTTACTTAGGTAATTAGAATACGAAGGGTCAAGGGCTACAGGAAAGTGGGTAATACCATTGTTTCCACACTAATATCATTTTTTTTTTCTTGTAAAGGGGGTCAAGGGAGAAACAAAGGGAAAAGCCCCACCCAGCATCCCACCCACCCCAGGTAGGTCCCCAATGTGAGGTACATTCCAAGGGTCCTGCTCAAGTAGTTTTGATAGTTCAACAGTTCTGAATTGCTACCAATCTTGCCATTCCAATCATGACGAAACCTATTTAGAATCCACTGGCTGACAGTCTCTTCATGGTTGGGGTTCTGAGATCAGCATTTCAGTTGGAGGGATCTCCAAAGAAACTTCATCTGGTGCAGCCGTTAAGGCTCCCACTGCAGCACCTGCCCCCGACAAAGAAACTTCATCTTCACCTGATTCTTGTGTGTGTGAATTTGCCAGTACAGGGTTTGGCACAGTCTGTCGCCCCAATCAGTTTATGCACATGCTGGTTGTTGCAATTGCAGGGTCAGTTCTGTTTCCAGCCCTGTCATCCACTTGAACCAATGGGTGTTGTAGTCCAGCTCGATCCTATCCACTTCATACTCGGTCCTCATGCAAACCAGTGGGAGCTGCAGCCTAGTTGCGGCAACTGCCCATGACCCCCACCAGGCCTGCTCCCTGCTGGTTCCCATGAATGCCAGTATGTACCACAGACTTGTTCAGTCTGTCCCACATTCCATTTAGCCCTAGCACTTGTCAAATGGGCCTTGAAGCCTAGTTCAACCCAATCAACTTACTATCCACCCCACACACATACTGGCAGGTGCCCTTCTGTCTAGCCACCCTTGCCCCTTGTCCTGGTTTTCGTGCTCTCCAGTGGGAGTGGTTGTCCACGAAGGAGGTGCCCATTATCTCCCTACTAGGCCACTCCAACTTCTGGATTGTGCATTCTCCAGGTGGTTCTGGCATTTAACAGATTTAGCCCCCAGTGCCAGCCTCTGCCATCTGATGCTGTGGCAAAGCTCAACCAACCCTTCACCCACTCTAATTTTTGCTTGCACTAGTCGGGTCAGCCCAATCTGGCCCTTCCCTAATCTAGCTCACATGAGGCCCACAGGTGTTGTAGCCCTGCCTGGTCTGGTCTGCCCCCATCCCAACTCATGCTCTCCAGTAGGAGTGGTTGTCCAGCAGGAGAGCCCACATTCCTCCTTTCATCCAGTTCTCACGTATGCTGTTTGGGCGCTGCAACCACATCTGATATGGCTCACCTCATCTTGGCATTCCTTCATGTGAAATAAAACAAATCTTAAAAATGTAGTATATCTTATTTAAAAGTTCAAATGAACTGTTCTTTACCTATACAAACTAATAATATCACTTGTGCATTAGCTTTCAAAATTCTACAACTATTATCACTGGCAAAGAAATACAATAGTTGTCCATAACAAATGAGATGTTCAATATTTTTTTTTAATTTAAAAGGAAAATGAAGAAATTGGAATGTGATAAAATATGAAACATGTACTGAAAGAATTATAAGGAACCAGTGATTTCATTCTGAAAAAGGAAAGACTACTTCTGAGTGTTGGTAGGAAATATCAAACTTAGAAATTAAAACTATACATATATAAAACTATATATATAGTAACTATATATAACTATATATATATATATTTCCAAATATAAGGGTTTTCAAAACCTTTAATAAGTTACAAAAATCTATTTAAAAAAAAAGTTGAGAGCAGAGTAGATATGTCTTAATCAGGATTTATCTTTGAGCTACCTCTCACCAAAGCCACATGTACATGGCACAAAATGCATGATTATCATGTACGTCTTTTGCCTGGAGTCTGAATTAAAGGCTATCTTAGCAGTACACTTTATTCCACTGGATGTGAAATACACTGAAAACAACATTTGCACAACCTCTTATTTGGTGTAAATGAAGATTTAAATACATTTTTATATTTAAAACAATTTTTTTTTATTTGAAAGGTTAGAGGATACAAAACAAAAACTGTGAGAAAGATCTTTTATTCAGTTGTTCACACTCCAAATTCCTGCAGCAGTCTGGGAAGTGTTAGGCCAAAATTAGGTGCTCAGAATTTAATCTGGGTCTCCCATGTGCATGTCAGGGCTAAGCACATGAGTCACCACTTGCTAATCTCCCAGGATGCACATTAGCAAGGAGGCAGATCCAGAAGTGGATCCAGGATTTGAACTCAGGTTCTTTAACGCTGTACGTAGTCATCCCAACCAGCATTTCAACTGCTTCACCAAATTCTACTCATTCATAAAATGCTGTTGGTGGGACAGGTACTGCAGTAAATTTCCATTAATACAAGGATACATACTAGTTTTTAATATTGTTAAACAATTAACATTTAGCCAGATTTTCTACTGTCTTTGGAATTTGCTATCTTGGCAAAATACACATTCTTAAAATTATGTAACTATTAAGTTATCAAAATAAGTTTATGCTTATATTTGATAACTTCAGGAGACGTGGTAATGAAAAAAAATTACTTATTGATATTCCCAGTTAGCAGGTTTGGAACATAATAGAACTCAGCAAAATATGTTAAGCCAGTGGATGAACAATGTCTCTGTGGATAGTACCATGAAGTTTTACTTGTCTAAATCCCTCCATAACATTTTTATTTATTTATTTATTTATTTATTTATCATTTATTATCATGTTTTTTGATACATTTTCATAAAAACAGGAGTTCATCCTTCTCCTCCTTTCCTCTCTTATTTTCTCCTTCTACTATTTGTTCTCAAGCTATCGCCAAAGAACAGTCACTCATTTCATGGTTAAAGCTTAACTTTCTGATATTAAAATACATCAGGGCATGCTAATAATATATATGCTTGAATGTAATATTAATTCTAATCCTGATGGTTATGAATCCTTCATGTAAAGGAAAGTGAGAGAGGAGACAGAATCCCAAAACCCAAACTTGAGGCTCTGTATTCTTCCTCTTTCCATGTAGGCAAACTGCAGAGTCATCTGCCAGCATTTTTTCCTGACAGCAAGCAGACTGCACTGCTGTTGATTGGCACAGAAGTCCTACAGGTGGAAGACAGGTGGAGCTGCCATTTTGAAGGAAGTGAAGGAACAGAGCTTTCATAGCATCTCTGAAAACAATTTGACTGTGTCGTTAGCAGCAGCGTTGCTCCAGCAAAGAGGAGCTCACAGCTAGCACCTGCACAGATAGCTCACAAATAGGTTCCTT